ACGCTACTTGGTTTCAGTGACAACAGGAACGAAAGAAAGAAGGGAAAATAGAAGTATTTAACATCCATTTCAGCAAAACGGAAAAAGTCATCAATTTTAAATCTTTTCATTTGTACCCCCTTACTTCTTAAAATAACCACCAGTATTCATATTTCTGTTATTGCAATATTTTGTTTAAGTTGTTAAGCTCAAATATTTAACGATGTGACAGGGGAATTTCTATGAAAATTTATTGTTGTAGAAGTTGCCATGAGCTTACTTAATCATTAACTTAAGAATTAAGATTCATCAGAAATTTAAAACAGGAAAAACATGAAATTTTCACAGGTTAAAACTAGTTTATTATTGTTAATTATTATTATTATTATTAGTTGTAGTAGTTGAAATAGTATTATTCAATCACTGAATTTTCCCTAAAACTCTGGGTTGACTGTCTTCATTATTGTTTGTTTAATACTAAATTTATTTAATCTCATTGTTGTGTTTTATACTAATCACTACTATTATTTTGTAGGAAAATAGCAATAGAAGAGTGACTTCAGAGACTGTTGTAACCTAGAGTAGGTTACTGAATAGAATAATCAAATGAAGGTTGGTAATAAATGATAATACTTAGGACAAGAACAACACATATAAGATTCACCAGCGGTGCATAGAAGTAGTAGCCAACTGCTAGAAGTGAGTCAAGTGAATTCCACAATGAATCTCCAAGTGCAGGATATCTACCAACCACCCCATATGGTCAGATGTGGCACAAGGCTGAATTTAATGTGGGGTATCTGAGTCCATAGGTTAGGCCAAAAATTCGCCATAGATCCCATATAATATGGAGTCGGGTAGCTGTTTCTTGAGACAAGAGTATGCCCGTTGACATAGCCTCATTTGGGGATCCTCTTTGCCTCTAGGCAGAGAGTTTGACCAGCACAGCTGGAGATGAATCTCCAACTGCAGACTGTTGCAGGCCCGGTAGGGTGCAATGCTGGTTTATTACGAAGTGGCCTTGTGCCAGACACCACACTAAACTACCGAGTCCACAAGCAAAGTAAAAAAAAAATAAAAATGCGTGAATGAACAACGAAGGAATGTGGTTAGTCCACACGTGCATAAAATAAAAAACATTAACGAGATAGCCTGCACAGAATGACAGAAAAGACTGGATTCAAACAAGAGTAGTTTTATTAAATGCAGAAAACAAGTAACTTATCTCGTGGTAGAGATCAATGAAAATGTTCAGCGCCAAAATAGAAAGCAAGATGGCTAAGGCGAAAGTTCTTGAAGAAGAAGGTTCAGAAAAGTCAATCTACCAGAATATTATACATACAAAGAAAAATACTCACTGCGAGTTTTTGTTAGTGTGAGTGAAATGTTATGCATATTTTTTTTAGGTACAGGTTCAAAGCAGATTTACGACGAGGCAAAAGGGACGAAGAATTAGTTATTGGTGTTTGCATCGCCCCGAAGAAGGATTTGTGCGACGAGCCAAAAAGGACGAAGAATTAATTATTGGTGTTTGCATCGTCTCGAAGAAGTTAATTATGGCCAGTCTAGAAGGGCGAACAATTAATTATTGGTGTTTGCATCGTAAGATATCCCTCGTCTCTCAACCTTAAATATCGACCGGGATAAATGAGTCTCTGCTTAGGTCCGAGTTTGGATCACAACTGACTTTGAACCCACAGTTTGTCCGTGACGTCACAGAAATTTCACGGGAAGATTTCAAAAATCTAATTTGCATAAGAAGGAATAGCAGGTAGCTTGAAGTTAACAAAAACAGTTTACTACTATGTCTGACTGAAAGAGGCAGGAAGGGGGGTGTGAAACGCGCTGCAGCAGTGTGGAAGAAAGGGAGGAAACTTTACACGCCAGAATGTTGTAGATGGGATAACTGGTGTTATCCCATAAGACCAACATACAGTATTTACTACTGTATGTTGAATGGGGGCATGCCCATTACCATTTGTAGGTATGCTACAACAGAGACCAAAATCACAAATCCAGTGTTTTAATTCTAAAGGTCATAAATCTGTCTTGCAAGCCCGAAGTCAAAATTACTGGGGACAGAAAATCTGTATCCAAGATTCATAATGTACAACTGCTTACTTCACCTTTCTTTTTATGTGTCATGTCCTTTCAGGACATAGATGATCATGGCTCTCCACCACCTTCTATCCCTTGCAGCTCTCAACAAGCTCCTTCCCTCTGCTTCCTCCCCCAGGCCATGTTCTGTCATCTACTTGCTCAAGCTCGTCAGGTATGTCACGTGCTGCTTTCCATTGTCTCTCTTTCCCTCTATTCGACCCGTGAGTATCAGATTCTCCAGGCCCTCCTTCCTCATCATGTTCCAGAAACTTCATCTGCCTCTTCCTGATGTTAAATATAAGCCCCCTCCTTGTTTTCAACCTCTCTAAGACCTCATTGTTGCTCACATGCTCGGTCCATGATATTCTTAGCATCCTTTTGTAGAACCACATCTCTGTTGATGTGAATCTCTTCTTCATCTTTGAGGAAATCGTCCAACATTCGCTGCCATAAAGAAGAACAGATGTCATGTAAACAGCCTACTTCACTACATAGAATGACAAATAATACTGCTGTTATCTAAAAGTAGCCTTTTTATTGTGGTAAGAACGGAAAGGCAGCAATTGGTCGAGATTGGTATTAGAACTTTATTTTGGTTTTCTTTTTCACAAAGAACACAAATTCTTTTTTAGGGTAAAACTTGCTTTTCTCCTTCTCATATGTTGATACCAATTTTACTGTGGTATTCTAACTATTTATGCCATTTACATTGTTCTCAACATCTTTATTGTCCTATCACAATGTTTCAGCTGTTGTATTTTCTGGCGATGTACGTTGGCATTTTGAACCTAACCCTTTATTTAGTCCACCTGGGTAGGTTGTTCTAGTTCCACGTGCCATGCCTCTTCCGGATATCTCAGGTTCAGTTATTTCCCTTTTAGTACCTCAACTCTCCAAGCTCACCTCTACTGTGGCCTGGGATTGAACTCACAATTCTTCACTGGATTACTTCAGCCAACCCTTTTATCCACTGGGCCATGTATCCATGTGTATGAACTTTTTAGGACTTATAAACCTAATGTCTCAGTTAACATTTTTTTTTTTTTTTTTTACCAGAGCTCATATTGCAATTTTGTTATTATTGTTTTTCTCTAGCACTCTGTATTACTGGTTCCCATATTATATCTATGTCTATGCTTGGCCGGCTTAGGAGATTTTTGTAGACTAGCATATGCACTTATTCTTTAAGTTTTCGTATTTTCCAGTGATGTTCTCTGTCTATTATTTCAAACTCATCCCACAGGGGTTGGTGATCTCAATAAAGAGGAGGGCAACAGTCCAAACAATGTCTATATTTTTGAGATGAGATATTGTAACTATTTACACTCTTTACATTGTTCGGACTGTTGTCCTCATCTTTGCTGTCATATACACAATGTTTCAGCCATTGTAAACTCTGGCCTTCTTCAGGTGATTGGAATTTCAAACCAAATCCTTACTTCGTCCGCCAGGGTAGATTGTTCTAGTTCCACATGCCATATCTCTTCCGGATATCTCAGTTTCAGTTATTTCCCTTCACTAACTCTCCAAGTTTTTGTTCATAACTCTTTTTGGGCAAATCACTGGATTACTTCAACAAGCGCTTTAATCCACTGGGACATGTCTCCTTGAGGATATCAGTGTATGAATTTTGGGAACTCATAAACCAAATGTCTCATACAATTTTTACCAGAGCTCATATTACAATTCTATTGTTATAGTTTTTCTCTAGCAACTCTGTATTACTGGTGCCTATATTGTATTCTTGTCTATGCTTGGCCCGCTTAGGAGATTTTTGTAGCTAAGAGTAATCACAAAACATACAATATGGGACCAGATTAAAAATAAAAAGAAAGAAAATAGATTATCAATAAATTAATATTTATAATGACAAATGTATTCAGCCCAGCATTGCAAAAAGGAACACAAAAATAAAACACAACTCTATTTGGCAAATTCAGCAGAAGATGGAAGGAGAATAAGCCAATAAAACATGTTGTAAAAAAAAAAAAAATCCAGGGAGAGCTCAATGTAGATTACAGAGCATTATAATGATAATAAGAAGAAAGAGACTTTAATCATCTTTTATTACACTTCTACTTTCTCCATTTGTAGAGGTTTCATTTTAATGAGCTGAACATCTCGGTGTTCACAAAATAAAAATTATAAATGAAATGGATAATTAAAGTTTCTGTCTTCTTCTTATCAATATATCTATATCTATCTATCTATATATATACACACACACACACATATATATATATATATATATATATATATATATATATATATATATATACACACACACACACATATATATATCCACACAAACACACACATATACACACACACGTATATATATATATATATATACACACACGTATACAAACACACACATACATATATACACATATATACATAAACACACATACATATATACACTCTCACACACATACACATACTCACACACATATACACACACCACACTCATATATATATATAGACACACACATACATACACTCATATATACAGATGCACACATACATATACACACATATATACACTCACACATACACACATATACACATTCGCGCATACATATACACATATATACACTCACACATACATACATACGCTCACATACACACATATACACTCACACATATATATGTGTATATATATACACATTCTTACACACATATATACATATATGCACACATTCACACAAACATATATATATATATATATATACACTCACATCCACATATATACACAAACAGATAAAGATATATACATAGGCATAAATATATATAGACATACACACACAGATATATACACACATACACATAAATATATATAGACATACACACACAGATATATACACACATACACATAAATATATATATATATAAACAAAAACATAGAAGCCATTTTTACTTACTGAGAGATGGCCTTTGCTGCACCAGAAACTGTGAGGTACGTGTGCAGAGGTTGATGTAAACTCAATGTGTGTAGACCCTTAAAGACTTCACTCTGGAAAGAAAGGACATAATCATGGAATAAAATGGCAAGGATAATTTACTTTTTGGAGTAAGGTTTTTAAGTAGTCGAATCTACAGGTAGGAGATTATTAAACTTGTGGAATTGTAAAGCTGTAGTTGTTCAAACTTTCCCCAGAAGGACAAGCTATTTTTTTGTCACTTACTTTTCTTCTTCCTAAGAGAAAGATTTGCATTATCAACATTTCTGAAGACAAAATTTGGAAGTGGAATTTACAAGAACTTTTATACACATGTGCTCTGAATCAAGCAAGTTAAAAACATTTAAATATCTAAGAAGTTTTTTAACAGAGTTTGGAAAATATGACACCGGAATCTGAAGTCACATTGGAATAGTGAAACCTGCTTTCCAGTAAGAAACAGGAAATTTTTATTAGTAACAAAAAGGACTGGATTGTTATGTGATATTGGTCCTTTGACATAGCAGTGAATATTGGACAATCTCCTCGCAGAAAAAGAACAAATGTTGAGAATACCATGTACCAAACATGTGAGATGATGACAAAGTTGAAAGTACCAGAATGTTTAAATGAGAGCACATAAAGGAAAGAGGACTTAGAAAATTTGACACTCTCAGCAGATACTGAAGGCAAGACAGAAAGAATGCATAACCTGACAAGTTTGTGTGAATGGATGACTATAGTTGGGAATGATAATGAAAAGACCAAACTTACTAAGAGCTACAAAGGATAGGAAGCCATGGAGAGCTATGATCTACCCACTTAACAAGCTTGTGTAAATGGATGGCAGAACAAGGACTAAGAGGGTCAGTGAAAGGAAAAACATTATTAAGAGTGACAAAAGATAGGAAATTGTACTTCGAAATCTAAGTTAAAATTTCATTAGTCAAAGAAAAGGTTAGGGTTTGTTTGTCTAATTTTTTGTTATTTTATATATATATATATATATATATATATATATATATATATTTAAATATGTTTGAAACAGTACAGAAGCGTATTAAGTCATTAAAAATGAGGAATTTTATATTGTAGGCCATGATAGATTTAAAACAAAAACAAACTCAATAATGAGTGTGAACTGGCCAAAATGGAAAACCAGTTCACACTGAAATCCATCGCACAAGTGGGATTCTTTATAAAGTGATCTGCAATCAAATGGTATTGGCCAAATTTTTCTTTGGCCGATACCATTTGATTGCAGATCACTTTATAAAGAATCCCACTTGTGCGATGGATTTCAGTGTGAACTGGTTTTCCATTTTGGCCAGTTCACACTCATTATTCCATCTTAAGGTGTTGGAGACGCTTTACATCAGGTCCAGCCAACCTACTCTTTGCAAACAAAGAGATTGTTTGATTGGACTTGCTGTGCGGCGTTTCTAGCATCTTGGTTGGTATAATTTTTATAATAATTTATTTCTCCCTGTCCACTCATTCATGTCATCCATGACAAACTTTTTGTTTTTCTTTTTCTCATAATTTTAGTTCCCCGTGAACAGTTCTGATGAGAGGGGATGAAACCGGTTGACTGGTGTTTGTTTTTGTTTTAAATCTATCATGGCCTACAATATAAAATTCCTCGTTTTTAATGCCTTTATATATATATATATATGTAATTGTATGAAAAAGTGGAAAATTTTTTACTTATGATGCATTTCATACACAAAAGGAACACTTTACAAAATAAGACATCAAATGCATTGGTTTTCCACTGTAATGAGACTGACCATAATTTTGACATAAAAAATGCTACTCTTATCAAAGGAGGTAATAATTCATTACAATATAAATGTCTAGAAAGTTCCTTAATTGCAAGGTCATCTACACCAAGTTTGCGCATTGGTTCTTACAACATTTCACTATTCCTGGCAGATCTTCTAATATTACAGTGTGGAGTATTTACAAAAGTGATGGAAAGAAAAAGAAAAAAGACTCTAAATGAATGTGGCTATATAGATAAAAAAAAAGTTTTTTTAATTCCGAGCACCCCGATGCACATGTGTAGTGTGACCAACATAACAAATCTAGTCTGATGAAGTACTGAAGGACAAAATGCATCACAAGTAAACTTTTTCCACTTTGTCATAGAATTTCCCCAATATTGTTCTTGATATATAAAAATATATATTGTTATCTCATATATAAAAGAGAAAAGACAAACCTTATTTCATTTCCTTGAAGTACTAAGACATCTTCTTTTAATTTTCTAGAAATATTAGAACTTTTTTCATTTAATTTCCTAGAAGTTTTAGAACCTTTTCATTTAATTTCCTAGATGTATTAGAACTTTTTTCATTTCATTTCCTAAAAGTATTTGAACCTTTTTCATTTAATTTCCTAAAAGTATTAAAACCTTTTTCATTTAATTTCCTAAAAGTATTAAAACCTTTTTCATTTAATTTCCTAAAAGTATTAAAACCTTTTTCATTTAATTTCTGAGATGTATTAGAACTTTTTTTTATTTAATCTCCTAGAAGTTTTAGAACATTTCATTTAATTTCCTAGGAGTATTAGAACCTTTTCATTTAATTTCTTAGAAATATTAGAACTTTTTTCATTTAATTTCCTAGAAGTTTTAGAACCCTTTCATTTAATTTCCTAGATGTATTAGAACTTTTTTCATTTCATTTCCTAAAAGTATTCAAACCTTTTTCATTTAATTTCCTAAAAGTATTAAAACCTTTTTCATTTAATTTCCTAAAAGTATTAAAACCTTTTTCATTTAATTTCCTAGAAGTATTAAAACCTTTTTCATTTAATTTCCTAGGAGTATTAAAACTTTTTCATTTAATTTCTGAGATGTATTAGAACTTTTTTTTATTTAATTTCCTAGAAGTTTTAGAACTTTTTCATTTAGTTTCCTAGATGTATTAGAGCTTTTTTCATTTAATTTCCTAGGAGTATTAGAACCTTTTCATTTAATTTCTTAGAAATATTAGAACTTTTTTCATTTAATTTCCTAGAAGTTTTAGAACTTTTTCATTTAATTTCCTAGGAGTATTAGAACTTTTTCATTTCATTTCCTAGAAGTATTTGCCCTTTTTCATATCATTTCCTAAAAGTATTAGAACCTTTTTCATTTAATTTCCTAAAAGTATTAGAACCATTTTCATTTAATTTCCTAGAAGTATTAGAACTTTTTAAATTAATTTCCTAGTAAAATTAGGACATTTTCAGTTAAGAAAAAAATAAAGGGAAAGCAAGCAAACCCTAACCAATACAAGCCCTGTAAATTAAAACTGTAACCTACCTCATCAAAAAACAATGGAGGCCAGATGGCACAATAGCAGAAAAACTGTGATAATGCCAACTAAAATGAGGACTTCTAAATAATGATAACTCCTCATCCCCAAAATTCTAACAAACATTTTGGGGAAATCAATATCAAGTGCAAAAAGTTTTTCTGCCATGCGTATCATTCTTTATGACTTCATTGGACTAAAATGATGTTTAGGTTGATGTGACTAGACAAGTGTACAAAGAAGAGGGAGGAGATTAATTTAATTTAAATCTTTTTTTATTTAAAAAATTTCCTTTATGCTGCATCAACACAGACATTTTTTTTGTCCAATGAAGTCCTAAAGGATGAAACACATCACAAAAACATTTTCCACTTTGTTCTTTATATATATATATATATATATGTGTGTGTGTGTGTGTGTATGTATGTATTTCATTCTTTTTGTCATATAATCAAAACCAGCTTCCTTTTTCTTCATTCTTTTTTTTTCAATACCAGTTTCCTTTTCACTTTCGTTCTGTTTTTTCAAAACCTTTTTTTCCTTTTTTTCTTACTTTGTTTCTTTCAATATCAATTTCTTTCCTTTTTTTCAATTTTTCAATACCTTTTTCCTTTTTCTTTTTCTTACTTTGTTTCGTTTTTTTCAATACCTGATTCATTTCTTTCTTTCAATACGCATTTCCTTTCTTACTTTGTTTCCTTTCTTTCAATACCTGTTTCCTTCCTTTCAATAACAATTTCCTTCCTTTCTTTCAATACCGGTTTCCTTCCTTTCTTTCAATACCTGTTTCCTTTTTCCTTTCAACACATTTCTTTCTTTTTCAACATCTGTTTCCTTTCATTCTTTTTTTCAACATCTGTTTCCTTTCATTTTTCTTTCAATCTGTTTCCTTTCATTCCTTTCAACCTTTCTTTCATTCTTTGTTTCCTTTTCTTTCTTTCAACATCTGTTTTCTTTCATTCTTTCTTTCAACATTTTTCCTTTCCTTTCAACATTGTTTTCTTTCATTTCTGTTTCCTTTCATTTTCTTTCAACATCTGTTTTTTCTTTCAACATTTTTTTCTTTTCAACATTTTTCTTTCTTCTTTCAATAATTGTTTCCTTTCATTTTTCAATCTGTTTCCTTTCATTTTTCCAACATCTTTTCCTCATTCTTTCTTTCAACATCTTTTCAAACATCTGTTTCCTTTCATTCCTTTCAACATTCTTTCAATAATTGTTTCCTTTTTCTTTCATTCTTTCTTTCAACATCTGTTTTCATTCTTTTTCATTCTTTTTCAACATCTGTTTCCTTTTTCATCTCTTTCTTTCATTCTTTCTTTCACATCTGTTTTCTTTCATTCTTTCTTTCAACATCTGTTTCCTTTCTGTTTCTTTCTTTTCTGTTTTCATTCTTTCTTTCAACATCTGTTTCCTTTCATTCTTTCTTTCAACATCTGTTTTTTCTTTTTCATTCTTTTCTTTTTCAACATCTGTTTCCTTTCATTCTTCATTCTTTCATTCTTTTCTTTCAACATCTGTTTTTCATTCTTTCTTTTCATTCTTTCATTCTTTCAACATCTGTTTCCTTTCATTCTTTCTTTTCAACATCTGTTTCTTTCTTTCATTCTTTCTTTTTCAACATCTTCTTTCTTTTTCAACATCTGTTTCCTTTCATTCTTTCTTTCAACATCTGTTTCCTTTCATTCTTTCTTTCAACATCTGTTTCCTTTCATTCTTTCTTTCAACATCTGTTTCCTTTCATTCTTTCTTTCAACATCTGTTTTCTTTCATTCTTTCTTTCAACATCTGTTTTCTTTCATTCTTTCTTTCAACATCTGTTTCCTTTCATTCTTTCTTTCAACATCTGTTTTCATTCATTTCAACATTGTTTTCTTTCATTCTTTCTTTTCAACATCTGTTTTTCTTTCATTCTTTTTCAACATTTCTTTCAACATCTGTTTCCTTTCATTCTTTTTTCATTCTTTCTTTCAACATCTGTTTTCTTTTCTTTCTTTTCAACATCTGTTTTCTTTCATTCTTTCTTTCAACATCTGTTTCCTTTCATTCTTTCTTTCAACATCTGTTTCCTTTCATTCTTTCTTTCAACATCTGTTTTCTTTCTTTTTTTTTGACATTTGTTTCCTTTCTTTCCTTTAATATCCATTTCCTTTCTTTCTATCAGTTTTATTTTATGTTGATAGACTGACCAAAGTGGTACATAATTTTTCTCATAAAACCAACGGTCTAACTACATGTGATGTTGTTTCCAAAATGTAGATAAATATCTTACCTGGATTTTGTTGTCCTCCATATTACTCAGTGCTATTAGTGCTTGTACACCTCCCATCTCCACAACCTATTAAGAGAAAATTATCATTTGGTTTCTGCAGGTTAAAAAAAGGCTAGACAGTATTCCGGCAATGGTTTTACACAAGCATCTTTCCCTATATAAATAGTGTGAACACAGAAATCAACACTACATGGTGACTGGCAGTTTCTTCTGGTTTAAGAATCACTAATAGAGTGAAACTGTCACTCACAGCGCAGTGTTAATTCTGTCGACACTTGTTATATTTATAAACTGGTTCAATCATTGGTACTGAAGTTTTATCCCCATAAATATAATAAAGTTAATATCATATATATATAATTTTATTTTAGGATATTAAAACATGTTAAAAATCGCTACACAATTGTGACCGTGTTTCAATGCATATCAATGTGTCACCTCAGGCGATTGTAAATTACTGGCAAGTGAAAGATTAATTTAATTTCAAAAGCAAAAATGCCTCCTCTTTTTTGCGAGAAAAAAATGAAAAGAAGGCTTGAAGGCTTTACTGTGATCAACCAATCGAATATGACCTACGTTAAATTCAAACTAAGTGAAAAAGAAAAATCTTTTTTAGAAATGGGGCATGACAGGAAGTTGTCTGCAAACAGATCCCAGACATTAGATTAAAGACTGATACAGACTACTTGGATACATATATATATATATATATATATATATATATATATATATATATATATATATATATGTGAAAAGTGTATATAAATATAAATAAATATATATATGTATAATTATTTATATATTATATGTCTTGTACTTATTAGAAAGCGCTCAATATCAGAGATAGAGTTAACATATTTGTTGGATAGATGTGAGTTTGTGACCCTGGGTTTCACGCTTTAGCGATCATCAGACAAATGCTAAAGCATGAAACCCAGGGTCACAAACTCACATCTATCCAACCAAATATATATATATGTATATATATATTTATTTAAAATGATACCCAAACACAGAGTCATGGCTGCATTCTCTCTTGCAGCCCAGGATTACCACCATTTCTACACAATACACCTTAGAATGCAAACATATAAAAACATATTAACAATGGACCCCTTGAAAATGCCCAATGAGCTGGCCAAAAGCACTTGTGACATTAATCATTACAGACCTTTCAAAAATCATTTTTTTCCTTCCAAAAATAAAACTAAGGACATCAGAAAAAACTTATAAGAGCTTCCTTATTTGTCATATTTGATAATTCATTGAAACATGCATAAAAGAAAGGCTGCTGCTAAAATATTCAATATACATATTGTTGCAGCATACATATGGACAATAATGGGTATGCCCCCATTCCCATAAATACAGTAGTAAATACTGTATGTTGGTCTGCAGTTGGAGATTGGTGCTGGTCAAACTCTGCCTCTGGGCAAAGAGGATCCCCAGATGAGGCTATGTCAAAAGGTAGAGTTTCGTCTCGGGGAAACAGCTACCTGACCTCGTTTTATATGATGTCTATGGGGAATTATTGGCTGAGCCTACAGGCTTGGATACCCCACATTAAATTCGGCCTTGTGCCACATCTGACTACGTGGGGCAGTTGGTAGATATCCTGCAGTTAAAGATTCATTGTGGAATTCACTTGACTCACTTGTAGCAGTTGACTACTTCTTATACATGCCACTGGTGAATCTTATATGTGTTGTTATCATTCATTACCAACCTTTGTGTGATTATTCTATTTAGTAACCTTCCCTAGGTTACAAGACTCACACACACACACACACACACACACACACACACACACAGATATATGTACTCAAATGGATAAATATAAATAAATATATATGTTAGTGTTCAAATATCCATTGGTGTAAGAAAATCAGTGCTCAAAGCTAAATAACTGAGTTATTAAGCATATATTAATAAACTAGCAGTAGAACCCGGCGTTGACCGGGGATGTAACAGTAAGAGATAGATCAAGTATCGACCATCATAAAGACTGAAAAATAAAATTGACAAAGATTATTGTTTAAGGTTGACAGACACACATGTTTTAATTAGTTTTTTTTTTGTTTTTTTGTTTTTTTTTACGAATTGGTCAAACCCAAACTCAAACAAAAACATTGTTTTCAATCGTTATGAGTCTACCGATTGAATAGAATTTTATTATAAACAATTGTCTTGTAAATGGAATTTTTAAAGCATTCTGAATGTAAAAATAAAGAAAAAAGCATGCAAGACAATAAGAAACACTACCTGCCAAAAAAAAGTGAAGTTTTGTTGAAATCGGTTGAAAAATGTAGGAAATCCGATCCCATATATAAATGAACACACACGTACACAAACAACCTGGGTTTTTATAATAAGTATAACTCGATATGAGTTGTCCCACTTTCATTCTGGCGACAGTGATGCCTCTTAATCGGGATTTTAAATTAATTTCGTGCAAAAACAATTGTGTTTTTTCCAATTTTTGGTGCTGTCAGAACCACTGCAAGGTAATTTTACGTAGTCCTGTGAAGTTTTGTTGAAATCGGTTGAAAAATGTAGGAAATCCGATCCAATATATAAACGTACAGACACACACACACACACACAACCTGGGTTTTATAATAAGTATGATATACATAATACCCTACACTGACAGTACAACTCAGAGTTTCATGCTCATTGAAATCATCAAGTACTGATTTGAATTTACACCATTTTGATGACACCATTTTGATAATATTCCTGGGTATTGTGAAATATGTTGTTTCAGTAGATTATAACTGTAGATTTGTACTATAATCTAATCTTGAATTTGAATTTAGGCTCAAACTTACATTTAAGATTGAAAATAATAATCATTAGAAATTCTAATTTTAATTTTCTAATTTTCATTAAAAACAGATACTGTTATTAAAATAAGTTTAAGGATAAGGGGTGGGGGTAACTCTATTTTTTTTGCTTAAAAAGTAGTTTGTGATAAATTAATAAATTTTTTTTTTCAGCATTTCACCCCAAGCAAGACAGGAGCACCACCAGTATGCAAGAGGTGACAGAGAGTGAAAGTAAAAGCAAAGATTGGGTATGGGGGTAGATTGAGGAAAGGATAAAAAGGACAGAGGGATCAAGGTATCAGAAGCTGTCGATTGACATTACATTTAAATAGTGATAAAAGGATAATAAAAGTAAAATAAATAATAAAAATAATAAAGATAATATTGATAAAAATAAGACCAAAAATAAGATGATAAAAATAATGGTTGTATAGTAAAAATAGATAAAAATAATAATAACAACATCAAAAAACAGTATCTGTGGCATTTTTCATATATATATATATATATATATATATATATATATATATATATATATATATATATATATATATTGAAGATTGCATTTGCATTTAAGCATGAGATAGACTGTCATTGCTGTGTGTTGACCTCAAAGTCCATTTTATATTTACATACGCTCTATCCCTGACTGGTTCTCGTTTGATCACCAAAGTTAAGCATCGTAGAGCCAGGTCAGTACTTAGATGGGGGACCACTTGGGAACACCTGGTACTGTAAGCCGACCCAGATTAGCGAAAAAGAATTGGTCTCTTATCAAAGATGTAGACTGATGTATAAACAACATATCCTACCTTTTATCATTTTGCAAATAAATTGTCCTTATCAAATGGAAATTCTTGACTTAAACAAAAATACCTAGGATTACTTTGCAGTGTGCAAGCAAATAAGCTCTAGGTTGCTAAAAATGTTCCATACAAAATAGGCATTTAAAATTCATATAAACTGGATTTGGCATTAAATAACCCACAGTGGTTGATATGCCATAAAACTGAAATAAACAAACAAATCTATCCCTGATGTTAAGCACTTTAACCCATATAGTACACGTTATATATATGATTATATACATATATATATATATATCTATATTTCTGAGATGAGGTATTATGTACACTATTTACATTATTCGGACTATTATCTTGAGAACACATGGCACAGTGAATAAAGGCGTTAGTTAGATCCAGTGACAACACCCAAAGAGTGTGAGTTCAATACCTGGTTAAGGTGGTGGAGAACTTGAAGAGGGAATTGACGGAAAGATAATGGATTTGTTACCTCTAAATATATATATATATATATATATATATATATATATATATATATATATAAAGTATATGATTGGTGTATACATATGACTGTACACTTATTTCTGGAGGTAGTTCTTTTTATCTTATTTACCTTCACCTAATATATAATAAAACTATTATCAACTTATATGATTAAAATATATGTTTTTATTGATATTTGTGGGTTTGGAATTTTCGTTTTTTAATAGATTAAATAATATTATTTTTAACCATTTTTATCTTTGTATATTTGCTCGCTTAAGTTATATTTTAATAAGTGGTTAGCATTTGTTTAATGACACTTTCAGTCTTAAATATTTATTGGTTGTGGTATCTGATTGTCTAGGTCAATGTCTGTGGATGTGTGTACATGTATTTATAGGTGTCTATGTGTATGGAAAGTGCATTCACTTTTAATTGTGTATGTATGCATGTGTTTGTTTCCATTTTTTTTTTTTTTCATAAAGGGCCGTGGAGATGTTCCCTGTCTTGTCACTTTTTTTTGGGTGTATATATATCAAAATATGTCTGGGTACATATGTATTATAATCTGATTGTGTTTGCGTTGTTTTATGTGTGAGTTTAGGACCCCATTCACACACTTGGGATTAAAATGTATACATATATTGTCAGAGGGCCGGATGACATATTAGCGTTTATTCTAATGTAATTTCAATGAAGAAATAAATTGAATAACATATGTATTTCTTCTTTTCTCCTCAGTAATTTTATAGTTTGAAACTTAATAGCGATTAAATTTGGATTTTAAAATTGGCAGTTTTTAATTTTAATATAAAATTTTATCATATAATTTAATAATTATTGGTTAGAATAAATTCTTTTTTAATATTACCCATATTTTAAAGATCTGAATAGCTATTATAACATGACTTCGTTGTCAAGCTTTTTGAATTTTCCTATACTTGTATTTTGATTGGTCATTCTAGCTTTTGGAACAATGTTTTCCCCTTGTGAAGGATCGTTAATTAATTTGAAACTTTTAAAACCATTTATTTTACATTCAACATCATCACTTGATAAGACACTGGGGGTGTTGAAACAAAATGGCTATTTTTGTAGTGATTTTAAAACATTTTTATGTTATAAATTTTTTTTTTTAAATAAGTAATTATATATATATATATATATATATATATATATATAATAAACAATAATAAACAATTCCTCAGACCTACAATGTAGGTCTGAGGAATTGGATCGTATTTATGATTCCAATGGAATAAATTATGACCATGGAATATTAGTGTTTAAGCCTTTTTATTATATCCTTACTCTGTCCTGGACATTGAGTTCTACCTGGATTCTATCCTCTTGGAATTATTTTTTATACAAATATATATGTACGTGTATGTATGTATGTATGTATGTATATATATTTATAATTTTTAGATATATGATTGCATATGTATGTGTATATTTACCACTAATATTATATATATATATATATATATATATATATATATAAATAAAACTGCCTCAGAAAACTGGGTTTGGAATATTTTACAGAAAATAACAATCAAGAGCCATCATGATGACCCTGGACTGAAAAGGCGCCATGCTTTCACCTCCGAAATTATGCCTCCATTGATCTATCATTGTTGGAGTTCATTTTTATAAGGTGCTTTTTCCTTCCAGCCTTTGTAAGGGCCAAGAAATATCAGTGGGCTGGCTGTCAGGCAGGAACAGAGAAGGTTGGTGTCCGTGGGTGGGTGGCCGGGCCTGTGGCATGAAGATGGGGACTAAAGAGAAAAGAATAGTAAGAAGCTGATTCTGCTTCTTAATTGAACCTAATGGAAGAACAGTCAGCCAAAAAGTAAGTAAATAAACCCTTTCATCAAGTACTCACATTTGGCTTGACTGAGAAACAGGTGGCGGGCAGAGGTGGGCCGAATTGAAAATCTCTATCTATAAAAGGCAGGATGTGTGTGTGTGTGTGTAACGAATGCACGGCCGCAATTTTCGACAGATTTGTACCAAAATTTACATGCACATGCTCCAAGTCAGTGGGAAGGCCAAGACTTTGCATTTCCCAACTCACATTGATAGGGGAAATAATCATTTTTTTCATGCTTCTACGGTAGTTTTCATGTAGTTTGTGGCCATTTTCTACTGGCCAGAGTGAGAGTCTATAGTTGGCTGCCACAAATAGGCAGGAAGATTCTATTGGCCAGCATGAGAGCCAACAGCTGACTGACATGAATGTTAACTAGCATGCTAGCATGCAAAAAAGCTGCATTCGTCACAAGTGGGAAAAATTTAAATCTGCATTGCACTTTACTCCAATTGGCTCATTCGCTTGCTTAAACTCAACGTTGATTCTGATTCTGCAGAACTGGATTGGGTGTGAAAAAGTATTTGTTGTTAACATTCTTTTTTCATTCGGTTTTTCCAGTTACGAGTCCCTTTTTTAAAGCTGATCATTTTGTGTTCATTTTGTTTAGTTCTTTTTTCATAACAGATTTAATGTTTAGTATAGAGCTTAGAAAAGATTTGCAGTGTGAGATAGGCAAGAAGTAAGGCATGTAGCAACATCGCAAAGGGCACTCATTTAAAGGCAAGGAAGGGCAAAAATATTTTAAGTCAAGTGATAGCAATTGCTGTATGAGTTGTACGATTTTTGAATCAAGCATGGGCAATGCTGGTCCATGCTGCTAGTATATATATATATATAGGTACTAAAGTACTTGACTATCCTATGTGCGGTGCCACTTTAGGATGCAGACAATCATGGATCTCCATGAGTGTCTATCTTTTTCAGTTCAAAATGATTTTAAACAGATGCCTACACCTATTTATATATACCTATACCCATCTATTACATAAACATATCCCATGTCATTCCATATTTACGCCTACACCCATATATACATGACTATATACACACACACGCACTAAGTAATATTTGTTCCCTTATCTGTCCTGGGATCTGTTTTGTCATCCATTTGCACAAGCTTATTAGGTTACTTACTGTTTTCCCTCTGCCATCTTGCTATCAATATGACTTGTGGGTGTCGAAGTCTTCAAGCCCACTTTCCTCATTCTGTGTCAAGGAAATATAAACTTTTCTTGATTCTAAGTTCAAGAATCTTTTCTGTTCACACTGTTTTTAAAACTTCCCTCTTACCCACATGTTCCATTCAGGGCATTCTTTGTTTCCTTATCTTGAGTCACATCTCTGTTACTTTAAGTCATCTCTTCATCCACTACTTAAATTAACTGGTCCCCCTGCCAAAAATGGGTAAAGAATTCGTTGGGGTGTTATAATTTTGTAGATAAAGTTCAATAGACCTTCTTCTACCCATGCCATTTATCAGAATTGAAAATATTGATTGTTATTTGTTGTGTAGAAAGACAGCTGACCTTCACTACACTAAAGTTTCGAAAATGGACTCTTCCAAAAATAAGAAAATATTCGTAAACAGGACATAAAGGTGTCACACAGCAGTCACAAAGTGTGTCACACTAACTACAATATTTGCTAGTATTGTAACATTAATTCACGTGATTAAACAATTCTTTAACTAATCTTGTGTTCCAGTGTTTTCTTTTGGAATATTATTAAACTACGAGTTGATATTATAACATTTTTTATCATTTTAGAAGAGGGGGTCCTGTTTATGATGTAAACACAGTGTCAAATTATTTCAATAATAAAACAATTAACTTTATCAAAATTTTACATCTCAAATAAATATAAACCTTACAAAACAGTATTTGTCTATATTTCTGAGATGAGGTATTATGTACACTATTTACATTATTCAGACTATTGTCCTCATCTTTGTTGCCATATTCATCACAACTAATACATAGATAGATAGATAGATCTGTCTATATTTCTGAGATGAGTTATTAAGTACACTATTTACATTATTCAGACTATTGTCCTCATCTTTGTTGCCATATTTCTCACAACGTTTCAGACGTTGTACACACTGGCCTTCCTCAGGTGGTTGGAATGCCGAACTGAACCCTTTATTTTTCTCGCTGGGGTAGACTGTTTTAATTCCATGTCTAATCCACTGTCTTTAATAATGTCTAATGTCTAAAGGTGTTGGTTAGATCCAGTGACAGGACCCAAAGAGTTATAAGTTCAATACCTGGTTAAAGCAGTGGAGAACTTGGAGAGGTGAATTAACAGGAGATAACTGACATCCATTAGACATGGCATGTGGAACTAGAACAGTCTACCCCAGCGAGCAAAATAAAGGGTTCTGTTCGACATTCCAACCACCTGAAGAAGGCCGGAGCATACAACAGCTGAAATGTTGTGATAAATATGGCAATAAAGATGAGGACAATAGTTCGAATAATGTAAATAGCTTGCAAAACAGTTTTCTAGTGTCCTTCATTTGACTAATAGATTGTTTTAAATTGCCATGTCCTTTATTTTTTTTTTTTATTCTTTTCTT